GTTTGGGTTTTGGGTGTCCGGGCTTAGGGTTTATTTTTGGCTGAGGCTTGGTGCTGTCGGAGGATCCGTCAAGGCCTATAGGGGTGTCAAGAGTAGAGACCGTGTGCATAAGCCTTCGAGACTGGGGATTTCGGAGACCACGCTCTTGAGATCCGGAATGCTCTAAGACGACAACATAAGCTAGAGGAGCTGCGGTGATCCAAACAGATCTCTGGTCTCTACGCAACATGTCCCGTCAACACCAGAAGCACCGAACTCTAGGTGTGCGGCTTTCCTGGCCGGATCTCGGTTCCCGAACTCCCCCTCGGCCTCAAGCCCTGAACTCAAGCCCAAGGTCCACATCAAAACAACAAGCCCCAAGGCTACGGCCTAAACCCTAAACCCACCCTAAACCCTAAACCCTAAACCCCAAACCCCTAAACCCTATAAGCCCTAAACCCGAAGCCCTGAATCCCAAACTCGCAAGTGGAGAGGTTTGGAGCTCCGTTCCATCACTGGGGTCGCTGCCAATCAACGTGTCGAAGTAGGCATGGTATCCTCATATCAACTGGTTCCCTGTTGGGGCCATATTAAAAGTTATCTTTTTTAACTCCTTACTAGGGTTTTGATTATAACAAAAAGGTAAGAGTATAGCCAACAAGGACCCAGTCAAAGGGAGAAGGCTTGTCTTGAGAAGCAAGAAGGGCTTTGTCAATCAGGGTGTAGAATCCTGGAGTTTAGGATTTGCCGTTGAGGGCTTCAGGATCCCTAAACCCCTAAACCCCCAAACCCTAAAGCCCCAAAGCCCTAAACTAAACCCTAAACCCGAAACCCTTTAGGATCTATGCTCAAATCCTGGGGATACCGGACGGACGACACGCACCGGACCAGGTCTCAAGGGGGGGTGCCTGTTGAATCTTGAAAAAAGAAAGAACTCTAGGGTTTAGGGTTTAGGGTATACTCCAAGCTCACAAAAACCCCGAAAAACTAGATCCACAACTCCTAACAGTGACGGTGAACCCTCGGCACCCGAATCCCGGAGCCTTAAGCCACAGAACCTGAAATGGTTTTTACATCAAAACCTCCGCTCCCCAAAGCTGTGGAAACTCTCAAGCTCTGAATTTCCCATTGTAGGTTAAACTACCAAACTCCCACCCTTGACGGATGCCTCTATGGCTTAGATTTTTGGGGGATCCTGGCTTCTCCGGTGGCTTTAACGGACTCCATTGGGGGGGCCTTATAAGGATTGAGGAGAACCCTCTTTTGGTCTCCATGGCCTGGGGGGCCTTTTTGTGAGTTTTTGGGGGGGCCAGGGCCAGTGTGGAGGCATGTGTTGCGGTACCACAGAGTCAGGGAAGGAAGTTGTATGCCATCGTATGCACATCTCACAAGATCACAAGCTTGGAGGACACCCACGCAGGAGTCACTCCACTCTGAATTCCACAAAAAAGCCCTTGAGATTCCATCTAGATTTATTGAAGAGCACATCGATGAGATCCCTTGCGGAGAAAGGCGCGTTGCTCTGGAGTTTTCACAAGCGTGTGTACAGCCAGCATCGCCACCTGGAATGCTTAAGTCCGACTTGTTGTGAGCTGCAGCTGAGAGGGGTCTCGAGATGTTGGCGGAAAACTCACCCAGCCGAGGCCAGCCAAACGCTCAAAGCGTGTAAGCAATGCCAAAGACCACAGCAAGCCGTCGGTTGGAAACTGCTGCAGCCAAGGAGCCAGGTAGAACACGCCCTTGGCACATGCACATGTGGAGTTCATGCAAGCCGAAGACAGTGACCGACGCTACCGCAGCAACTCTCTTATTCACAGCGTCTCTAATGGTAAGCAGCATCAGGTTACCAGACCTAACTTGACCCTGAATCCTTACGTTCCCAGCGGACCTGAAAGCCGAAATCACCGGGCACACAATCCCACATCCGCTGGCTTGATACCGGCCGAAGGTGCTGTTAGGCTCCAGAGAACCGGCCGCATCTTTGCACATTCCGGGATCACCACAGGGGAGACCATGACGAGCCTCATAGGTGGGATGCGTGGCTTGATGATTGCTTCAGGTGTCCAGAGATGGGCATTCACCAGGGCTCATTAGGGCTTGGCTTGAAGGCTTGGAGCATTCCGGACCTGGGTTAAGGGGGAGAACAAGCAGAGTGCAATGTTCCGGGTTCACACGGAAATCTATATAAGCGGAGCCTGGGCCTTTCGGAATCTCCAGGCTGCAAGAAGCGAGCTTCACACCGCTCCGGAATGTTTTGCACCACATGTGCATGTTCGAGCAGCTCAAGGGCCCTGCAGGTTCACAGCATCTATACACTATACATGACTGCACTGCAAAAGTGATCAGAATTGCACTGACCAAAGTCTTTGTTGGCAAAGAGCCGGTTTAGGCTTTAGCCAGCTCCTGAAGCGCCAAATGACTGAGAGAAAGCTGATCTCTAAGCAGGTGAGCAGGTTTGACCTTGGTGAGATGATCCGCCAACTGCCTAGTCGTATCAACCCACTTAAAGGTACCTCGCAACTCTTCACCGTCAACGTCAAATTCGGCTGCACTCTGCTTGATCGCTTCTACATCGATCGTCAACCTCTTCTCTTGAGTCGACGAGACGGGACCGTCTTTTGTCAACAAGTCGTACAAGCTACGGCAGTCCGTTATGGGATGCACTTCCAAGAAGCTTGGCGGAAGTTGCCCACTCTGTATGGGCGAGTAGCTTTTCACCAACATCTCAGCCAGCAGCTCGCGAACGAAGATGCCGCTGTCGAATCCGCAGTCGAGGGACATCGTCTCCGCCGCCAAGGTGCTCCGACACTGTCGCTGAATCCGATGCGAACGCCAGTCCAGCAGAGAGGCAGCGTCGCCGCTTGGAGTGAACACTTCGGGGCCGGTCAGGAACGTCAAGTACCCGGCCTGAGACTTCAGCCCGGGGGCGTTGGCCCACGAGGCGTCTGTAAAAACCACCACCTTGGCCGTCTCGAGGTTGATCGGCACGAACCGCAAGCACCAGTCCTGTGATGCCTTCGCTTCCTTCAGGAGTTTATTCACCTCCACCAAGTTCTGCACCACCGGTTGACCACTCATGTACAGGCTGGTACCGGCTGCCAAGTCCGGCCTGGTCTGGCCGATGAGCCAGTGGAGGCATCCGCCTCCAGATCGAAGCTCAGTGGCTTCAGTTCCAGACAAAGGCGCCGTAGGCGTCATCGCTCTCCACCTTGGCACCGGCGTCACGTCGATCGCCTGGATGAACTTGTTCTGACTGAGGGTCACGGTGCCGTCGGGTAACTTGGCCAGCTGCTTTCCACCGTACTCGAGGACTGTCTCGTGACGGCTGTCCGCCCAAGCACCGAAGTCGAAGGCCGCCTTCACGCGTTCCAGCACTTCGTCAGCTTCACCTGGTTTCCCGGCCCCAAGGAGATCGTCCACGTGCGTTCCCAGGGCCAGAATGAGCCGGTTCTCCTTATAGAAGCAAAAGAGGGCCTTGTCGAGCGTCGACTGTATAAAGCCCAAGCTTTTCAGGGTGTCCCTCAGGTGTCGCCAAAACAGCCGGGGGCTGTTTGCCAAACCGAATATCCCTCTCACCACCAGCAACAGTTGGCCTGCCAAAAGTCCCGGCAGTCCCTCTCGTGGCTGTCGGATGAAAAGGGGCATCTGGCGTGATGCAAGACCTTGGTCTCCTTGAAGAAAGGCTCCCGTCACGTCCGCCGTGAACAGAAACCAGTCGCGGAAGCTTGCAGCAAGTTGCATCAACACCATGATCGAGGGACATTCTCGTCATTGTTGGTGCATCGCGCCTGAGCTCGAGTAGGTCGGGGTCCTGGTCGCCACGACATACTAATCGAGCCTTCGCCTTCAAAGGCAGCCACTTAAATGCTGCGTTCTTGTTCCTGTAGCACACTCGACTCGGAAGAATGCGCTCTGGCGGAAACTGCGCCTCAACAGCCTTGCTGGCCTCGGGGCTCAAAGGAGCCACGGCTTCGTACTTTTGCCACGTACCCCACTCTTTAACGAGAGCCTCGTGGTAAGCTTGCTTATCTTGCTCTTCGATCATGGAGTAGGGGATCTCCTTCTCCAGGGCCTTCTGCTCCTTCCGGGTCTGTTGAGCTCCTCGGTGAACCCTAGGCTCCAAAATGGAACCTTGGAACTTTTCCGACGGCTTGGCGAAGAGCTCCTGCGTGCTAGCTGGTATGTAGCGGTTTGTCAAAGTAACCGCTTGTCTGTCCTGTCCGGTCTCCTCTGCGACTTCCACTCTCACACGCTTGGCTTCTGGCTCGATCGTCTCGATCCCAAGTGGTTGCCGTCTCAGAGGCGAGACAGGGGAAGGCTGAGTCGCATCGGATGCGTCGGATGGAGGCTTACTAGCTTGACCTCGACGTGGACTGCGTTCCCGGTCACCCGCTCCACGCCGAACTGGTACTTTATCTAAAGGACCCCGAGGTTCTCCGGAAGGTTCTGCTGGTAGTTCTTCTGGAGGATCGTCCCGAGGTTCTCCGGAAGGTTCTGTTGGTAGTTCTCCTGGAGGATCGTCACGAGGTTCTCCAGGGAGGTTGCCTCTCAGTGGCAACTCGTCGCGCTCACCCTCCTCGTCGGCTTCGTAGTCCTCGTCGGGTCCATCGCCGTATGCCGGAAGCACTTCGTCTGGGTCTTCAGCTACGCCTTGACCAGGGGGGGCTCCTCGTTCGTCATAGTATTCCTCCGGCGGCTTGTCGAGGAGGTCGCGCAACACGTCTTCTTGAATCCGCCAAAGTTCGGTCCCAAAGGCGGGCCTGAGCTGTTCTTTCGCCGCCAAAATGCAGCGACCACCCGAGGACAGCCAGTAGTTGCTCTGTCCTTCATCTCCGCGATGAGGACCGATGACCGTAGCCTTGTACCATCCACCTGGTACTCGTCGGGGCTTCTTGGTCCTCGGGTCCTTCTTCATCTTGGCCTCCCGCCAGAAAGCCACCAGCTCGCCGGGTTCGTAGCTCTGTCTTGTGGGCCGCCCTTGTCGAAGAACTGCCCGCCTCAAGGAGTCGTTCATAGTGAACTCGGCGATCTTCTGGTCGGAGGCTGCCCGTACTTGTTGTCGCCGACGAATCTCATAGTCAGCGTCGAGGCCCTGCAGCGCCTCGATGCGCCCGTCGGGACTCAGGAGGTCCCACGGCATCTTTGGGTCCTTGCCGAAAACCCACTGGTTGGCGGAGCATCCGCAGGTTTTCACCTTCTCGTTGAGGCTAGCGCTAACCATCGCGCCCAGGATCTTCATATCCAGCTCGCCGACCAACTGAAACTCATCGACGGCCTTCTCCGCTGCATAGCGGAATGCCCGGTTGTAGGCTTCAACCTGCCCTGCTTGCCAGTGTGCCTCCGCGGGCACCATCTCCACCTCGACACCCATGTGTCTCATCTTATCGAGGAAGGCGCCCTCGAAGGCCCCGTCCTGGTCGCAATGGATATAGTCGGGGAACCCGGCCCAAGACGACCAGACGTCACAGAAAATCGACAACACGTCCTCCGGCTGCCGCGTCTTGCTGGGGTAGTACAGATTGAAGGAGCCGTTGGGCTCGAGGATGTGGAGGAAGCGGTGCGTCACCTTCTCCGCGTCAGCGATGTGCACGAAGTCGAGGCACACCTCGAGTTAAACTGACCCACCACCTTGAGGGACGTAGGCCTTGGAGGCAGTGGGCGCCGGGTCCTTTCGCACGTAGCACACCGCAGCCTCCGGCACAAAGACACCGCCTCGGGATCGACCTTGTTGCTCTGCGCGAGGGCTCGAATCATGTCCTCCATGCGAGGGTGGCCGAGGTTTCGATGCATCCTCACCAGCGCGCGGGCCAACGCCTTCTCCTTTTCTCGCAAGGGCCCGCCGATGAACCAACATTCTCCGGCGAAGTCCTGGCGCACCAGACCTTCTTGTACAAGCCCCTCCTGCACCTCATCGCGCACGAGTTCGTCGCCTGGAAGAACTTGAACAGGATGGCCCTTTAGGCTCGCCCGGCGCATAGCCCAACACAAAGATTGCATAGCGCACCGGCGTCACGAACCGCTCCCTTGGCGCCTGGGCTTCCTTGAGATACTCCGTCTCGATCACGATGGTGTCGTCGTTCAAAAGCAACACCGAAGCACGGTGGCACTCCTCGAGCCCAGCCTTCACCCGCTTGGCTTTAGGCAAGTGTGCCACCTGGACCAGAGCCAGCTGCCACGGCACCAAAGCTTGGACCTTCCGGTAGAGGTCCGTGTCGGGGTGCACTAGCAAGCTCGCCTGCACCTTGCGCCCGAGCAGTTCCTCGGCTTGTTGAAGAAGAGGCCGCCATGCGTCTTCTTCTCGCTTAACATCCACGTAGTGCACCGCTCGCTCGGATGATGTGGCCCACGTGCTTGCAAACCCATAGTCCTCAGTAGCCACTAGGTCCAGGTACGAGCGGCACACAGCATCGCCGAGAGCTGGAGGAAAAACTTCCAAAGGATCACCTCCTGCGTCACCGTCGGCGCAGTCTCTTCCCCTCGCCGAACACCGGTCTAAGATGTTGGGTGCGTGGCGATGAGCCTGAACAGCCGGCTTCCGTCTTGTCGTTGGCTCCGGGCGTAGTCCCTGACGCGAAGGGGCCGTGGTGTAACATAGCACTCGCTGTCGAAGTTAATCGCGAGGTCCTTCTGGTACTCCGCGATCACGTGTCCGCCACGGCTGCGCTGCTCACGGAACAGCTCGCACACGAGTTCCTGGAAGATCTTGTCATCCTCGAGGAGGGCTTGCCGTTGTGCCTGTGTCGTTTGCAAGGCCTTCCACGGGGTGCAAGGGAACCCGATCACCACCAGCCGGGGCCTGTGCTCGGCGAGGGCGCCCTTCAGCCAACGTCGCTGTTCCGGCCGTCGAAGGTCGATGCCGTAGCGGCTGTCGATGGGCTGCAGTACCTTGAGGTTTCCAATGGTGGGCCGCCCGCAGTGATACTTGGCTGGTGCCACCGAAGATCTCAACAAGGTCATAGTTGAACCGTGTGCGGGGCCACCGGCTCCCATCGATCCTCGCCGCGACGGCCTCGCGATGTACTTGCGCGGCTTCGAGGGCACGGCGCGCTTGATCGCGCATCCTGCGCTTCTGGCCGGCCTTCAAAGCATGTCCGCGTCCGGGTCCTCGGAAGACACTGTCACCGCCTCCCAGGAGTCCTGCTCGGCCTCGAAGGTCACCTTCACCTCGTCCTGGCGTCCCGTGTGGTAGGTCGCCTCCTGCCGCTTGCGATCGACCGCCGCCTGGCGGCGTTTGTCCTCCAGACGCTGCGCCGCCATGGTCTTGAGGCGCTCGCGCTCCTCCGGGGCTAGGTCGCGTAGGTTGACCGTCTCCTCGTCGTCCGTCGGTGGGTCCCGACCCCCCTTGGAAGTCGGCTTGCCACTCTCGCTGCTCGTAGCCGTGCTCGGGAGAGGTGCTCCGGACGAAATTCGAGCTGCGAGAGCACGAATAGCATTCGGACAAGCTTTTTGAGGGGGCCTCTTGCTTGCGAAGACGGCCGCCTCGAGGAGCTCGGATGGTCCCGCCCGGAGTGGGCCGATAGCCGTGGAGGTACGGGTACACCGGAATCTCCTCCTTCGTGTAGGGCACCTTGTACAGCAGGCCGGACCACACTGTCCCGCACTGGAGGCACTCCATGAAGCGCCCGGCCGCATTGCCGTGTCGCCGCGCACATTCCAGAGGATGCCCTGGGGGTACGGCCCGGTCACCACCTTCCGGACCTGGCCCTTGGGGTTCGTCGTCGCTGGAGGTCCCGTCGCTGGCAAGGTCTCCGGCAGGATGTCCTTCGCGTAGAGGGCCTCCGTGTAACTGGCGAGCGCGGGCATCTTGTGCTTCACGTTGCGCACCACCATGTTCATCATGACGTGCCGCGCCACCAGGTCGATCAGGGCCAAAAGGCCGTCCACCATTCGGCCCCATGCCTCCACCCGGAACCGCCGACGAGTGGGAGTGGGCTTGTGCATTTGCCGAGGCTCCACTAGGTTGAGGTTGCGTCACCTTGGAGCCGAACTCACCCGCCGGGATATGAAATCGCCCTTTCCGTAGAGGCTGAGGCGCTTCAGGGGGCTTGGTGGTCTTAAGGTCAAAATGGTGCACCTTCTTGGGGTTCACGCAGTTCAACTCATGCGGCTTGACATGTTGCACAGATCCATCAGCAAACTGCACTGGCACATCGACAGACACCGGCGCAAACTGCACATGAGACATGTCAATGCCCTTGCCAAGAAAGTAGGTAGCCCCAACCCAAGGAACCGAAACCTCCTCAACACCATTGACCCAATCATCACACACCGGCTCTTCCGCCCCTGCTTTCCACGTGATGCGAACAGGCTGCAAGTCCTTAGGGTCTGGCCCGTCCAAAGTATCACCTGGAGCGAAAAGCAAGGTGCGTGGGCGGCAGTGGTGCCGCACATAAATCTGCCTGTCCACTTGGAACTCCCAGTGGTCGGCCGCCACGGTGCACGGTCTTCCTTCAGAAGCGTCATTGGGCTCATAGACATGAGTGGGGGCGAAGTGTTTCGCCATCCCACTGGCTTTTCCCGTGGCACCCGCGTTCCGGCCGGACTGCTCAAAAAGCACACCTGGGTATGCGTCCTTCCGCGCCACAAGGTCCTGCGGCCATCCCGAAGAGGGCATCTCATCGATCGCGATCACCAGGTGGCCCGTGATGTCCACGTAGAGGGGAGCCTGGACACCAATTTCGCGAAAAATAGCTATGTGTCGCCCTATGTCCAAGCATGCGTTCATGAACACCATCCAGTCCTGGCCCGCCAGGAAGGGTATTTTCGAGCCGTTCTGGTCCGGAATCGAGGATGTAGCAATCACGCAAGGCCGCCCTCTGATGCCAATTGGCACCATCCAGCGCTCCTGTGACATGGTGGGCTCTCCGGGACCAAAGCAGTAAGTCTCAGACTCGGGCCGGATAATCGGCTTCACCGCGAACTGCTGCTGCAGACGGCCCGCAATCGATTGCAGGATCGTGGTTCCGGAGACGCTGTTCTCGCAAGCCGTGTCCAAGGTCAAGTAACACCGACCCTCTTCAACTGTAGGAGGTCGTCGCATGGCACTCTGCACCCCTCTCGGCACCGATTTTGGGCACAGCACCATAGACCAAGGGACACGCCGCACCGCCATCACCTTGCGCAGGGCCTCGATGTCGGGGAGCTCGTCGTCGGGGTCCTGCAAGAGCTCCAGCACGCCCTTCCGGGAGTGGGGTACCACATCCAAACCGAAGTGCTCAAAGGCCTTAGCGACGGCCTCGGCGCTGGGACTCTCGGCCATGACGGCCCGCTGCTGGTCGATGACATTCTCCCTGATGTCCGTCACCTTCGGGTCGCTGTCCTGGGCCAGAGCCTTGCGCACATCAGCGGCCTCGACGTCCTGCGGGATGCCGGCCTTCTTACGCACTCGGTTAATACCTCGAGCCACGGCCTCGGACTCGTGGGCGAGGAAGTCGGATGAGCGGGTAGCCGAAGGGGTCGAGGACATCGCCGGTTGAGTCGGAGCCCTTGTCTCAAAGGTCGAGCGCCGCACCGGATAGCCATATCGCTGGGCTTCCCACTGGGACCACGAGCCATCGTCGTACTCGCCGTACCAGTCATCGGCCTCCTCCTCGTCCTCGGCGCCGTCGTCTGGAGCACGGTTAGCCTCGTTCGCCTTCTTGGGTCCTCGGCACTCAGGGTCACCCCTCCAGTGTCCTTTCTGGCCGCAATCCCCACAGGCTGTTCTAGCCTTGAGCTCTTCCAGAGACATACCGCGCGCCTTGCCACCGCCCTTCTTGGACTTCCCCTTGCCTTTGTCGGATGACTTGCCCTTGCCTTTGTCGGCTGACTTGCTCTTGCCTTTGCCGCCACCAACGTAGTAGCCGCGGGCTTGCACTGCACGAGCAAGTCGTTGACGGTTCTCCCGATGCGAAGCGAAACACGCGTGCAACTCGCGCGCCATAGACTCTGGGATCTCCGTCATCTCCACCTCGGCGAGGGCCTCCACGGGGTCGTGGTCGTAGAGCCAGTTGCCGATTTGCTCCTCCGAGGCGTGGGGCTCGGGAATTCTCCAAAGGTCCGCATTCCACTCATTCGTGTTATGCGTCTCGTGTGCAGCCCTTTGTCGGCCGCGGAAGCCGCCTTGGTTTGCATCACGATCCCGACCCGCCTTGACGGTCACGTTTTGGTACAGCAACTCCACTGCCTGCTTCATCTTCTTCCAGTTGTACTCGCCGCCAGTCCGCAAAAGCAGGTTCGCCTGCCGCTCCGTTGACATAGCGGTGTGCTCGAAGAAGAAGAAAACCATGACCTCGTCCGGGATCGTCAAGTTCGACTCGCGGCACCGCCGGGCAGCTCGGTCCATCAAGTCCACCACCTCAGACATGGTGTAGGCCTTGTCAGACAGGTTCATCTTGAAAAACCCTTTCATCGCCGAGCCCACCTTGTGCATCCTCTTCTCGTCGAACTTGTCCCGCAAGAGCTTAAGGAGCACCTGCCAACCGTTGTCGACGCCGAAGACCTTCGCCGGGACGTCCTCCAGGTAGTCCGCCGCCTCACCGTCCAGCGCCGCATGGAGCCTGAGCCCGATCTCGGCGTCGTCGATGATATTCTTGGCGATCTCCACATAAGAGTCCACCTTAGTAGCGTACTTCCTGAAGCACTTCGGGTCCTTGCGACGGTCGCCGTCGAAACTAGGCGCCTGCGGCAAGTTCCCGCGGGGTCGCCTCTGGGCACGCTCCTTGCTCTTCTCGGTTCCAGCCGGCGCCACAGCTTTGTTCTTCCTCGAACTCTCCGATCCAGCCGAAGAGGGGGAAGACCTGGGCCCTTGCCGGCCGCGAGCCATCGATCCACCAGGTGCCGGATCACGAAGAAGCTCCTCTTCCTCGTCTGGCTCGCCAGCACCGTCGTCTAGGTACGAAGGGTGCTGTTCGTCGTTGTCGTCATCGTCTGCCAGGAAGTCGCTCATATGAGCGGGTTCCTCCTCGGCATCATCTTCGTCTGCCGCCTCCGCACTGCCAGGCTGCGACATCGAGCGATCAGCAGCTAACGCTACCAATGCAATGTTCCGGGTTCACACGGAAATCTATATAAGCGGAGCCTGGGCCTTTCGGAATCTCCAGGCTGCAAGAAGCGAGCTTCACACCGCTCCGGAATGTTTTGCACCACATGTGCATGTTCGAGCAGCTCAAGGGCCCTGCAGGTTCACAGCATCTATACACTATACATGACTGCACTGCAAAAGTGATCAGAATTGCACAGAGAAGCGCCCCCCCATCGTTCTCAAGGCCCTCTCTGCAGCTTACTGCTGCGACTTGTATAATCAATGTTGACAGGACCCAGAAGAAAAAATCCTTTCGACTGTCAGATTAGGATTCGGGTGCTAGCTGCCGGCGGCGGAGTCCTTACTTGACCACGAGTGGCTCATGGGTGCTGAACAGGCGTATAAAGCATGTAAACACACTATATGTTTAGCTGGGCTTGCAGGATATCAAAACAAAAACTTATGTCCGGAGTTGTGGTACCAGCGGAGGGCTCGTATGACCACATCGACCCGGTGGCGCATTGCGAACCGGTTGTTTCGCGCTCGATTTATGCTTCCTGTCGCGAGCCATGACCGATCACCTGCCCTGAACTGCAAACTCTCTCGCCAACCGCCCACCGTGGGAGCTAGCACCACCATGGATTTCGGAACCCGACCTTCAACCGAAGCTCTTACATACTTCTTCCAGTCTTCCACGGTGACGCAGCATGGAGCAAATTCCACCAAGAGACCCCATGTCCTTGTTCAGGAGGAAAAATCCGAAATTTCGACACCTTGGAGTTGCGCAGGGCTTGTGAGTGAGGGTTCAACATCCCAAACTCTATAACCCGCTAGTAGCACGCTAACCTGAAACCAATTTCTTCGGTTTTTGAGGCATGAGCTCCGAAGCGAAGATGCAACCAAACGCCTTCGGGTTTTGGGTTTAGGGTTTAGGGTTTCGGTTTCAGGGTCTAGGGTTAAGCCCGACAATCGACCGCTGCACATTTCGCACACTGTATACATGAAGGGCTTTGGGATAATTAGCGAGCAGCAACTCCCTCAGTACTCCTTTGGTCCCAGGGTCCTTGTACCTGGACCTGCGGCCTTCGAGGGGTCTAGGATCGCAGGCTCAATCGGCAGAAGGATAATTTTAGGCACCCCTTCAATGCTGGCAATGGGTTCCAGGTTTCCAGCATGCGCTCATTCCTTTGGGCCACAGGTTTGACAGCTTGGAGTTAAAAACATCATTTTGGGCACGGCAAAAAACCGTTTTTTGCACCTGTGAGGCTATGTAAGGCTACAGGATTTGGGCTTTTCGTTTCAACCAACTTGAAAAGAGATCATCCGGCATCCACCTCAAGCCAGGAAAAGTCGAACATGCGCCTTTTGCATGTGCGCAGCAGCTCCGAATCATGGATCCCGATCCACAACACCGGAAACTCGTAGAAACTCGTAAGGTATAGAAAGTCTTAGTACTTCTTGGGGTGGATGTGGGGCTTCAGGATCTGGAATTCGATGGCTGAGGCAGCAGCTCCGGTATGAGGTCCTGGCGAAGCAGCGGTGGAGTCGGCGAAAGAAAAAAGGACTTGCCATGTTCTGTTCGAAGCTTTCACATCCCACAAAACCGCTTGAAGAGCTCTGGGATTGATGGTATAAGGCCTCATCTTCTGTGCGGCTTCGCAACGTCCGCAAACTACCCTTCACCATACCCCGTGTCTCACGTGATACATGAACATGCATCGCGAAAGCTGTCTTGTGGACAACACCTCGGCAGGATGACGGCTCTCACTTCATACGTACGACTTTTTGAGCAGACGAACCTACTCTTCGCGATGATACTAGTGATGGTGATGATGCCGATGGTGATGTCATCACCGTGATGATGCTGCCATAGGGTGATTGAGCGAGAAATGGGCAAACAAACTGCTGATATTCGGGCCATGTACGGCGAAGTGTAAAGATAATGGGCAGAAGTTCTGCTACATGGGACAGCCTACATCCCTTACAGCCTGGCACCCTTGAACTCTAAATCCTAAACTCCATGGTTGCAAGGCCTTCACACCTTGATAAAGTTCAGTGCAGTGTCCTCTCAAACCCCCAACCCTCAAGCCCGCAGCCCTATTAGCCCTCAACCCAAGCAGTTGAACCAACTGACTCTCAACCGAATGAACCTTAAACTTAAACCCATCAGATTCCGCTTCCTCGTGACTGTGGCGCAAACCGCCACAGGTGAGCGCCCGCTTCGCACGAGAGCAGTGGACTCCGACAGGGTACATGAACCTCGGGGGTTTGGTGTCAGGGTTTGGGCCGTAAGGGCGGTAGGGTTCTAAAATTTAACGGTGATACTGAATTGTGTGATCTGGGGTTCCAATCGTGCTCTTGCCCAGGCCTGGTACCTACCTTTGGTCTTATGCCTCAGCGGGGTTTCTGGAATGGCTCCTGGGTGCACGGTGCATGCACTGCTCGGCGTCCGTGCACGTTTTGGAAACCGGAGACCTGTACAACGGACCATGCCTCTCACACCGATGCTAACTGTGAGACTTCAGAAATCTCCCAAGCCCCAAATCCTCCACCTGAATCCTCCTGTCATACCTATAGTCTCCATTGTAGTTCCTTTTTTGGTTTAACCAAATCCATATTAAGGATCCTAAAACGTAGCCCCAAAGAGGAACTACAATGGAGACTATAGGTAAGTCGTAAGTTCGTAAATAGCACCAAGGAGCATGAGCCAAAGCCGCACGTAGACGATTATGAGCATTACCTCACAGAGCAAGACTAGGTGGATGGTCCCATGGTATCCCCCAGCTTACTTACCCAACCCTAAACCCTAAACCCCTAAACCCCTAGCCCCTAAGCCCAAAAGCCTAAACCCTATAACCCCAGCCCAAACCACCCTATTCGCCTTTAAAACTCGACGCGTTGAAGGGGTTCCTCCATCCCCAAGCTACACATCTCTCCACGGGAAAGCTTAGAAGGACTGTTTGGCACCATTGCGAAGGGCTCAAGCACCAATCTAGCAGGTTCGTAGTAGATAGTTGAGCCCCCCAAAGTATACATGCATTTATGTACGTAGATACATACATGCATGTATGCATAAATACATGCATGCATGTGTGTGTATATATATATACTCATGTATCTACAATGTGCGTACCTGGATCCTTTGGGATTGTGAGACAGAAGAACGGAAGCCAGGTGCCAAGTAAATTCTGCGCCGCATGTGTCGGTCCTCGAGAGGCAGCAGGGTGGGGTGGGGGGGATGGCGGGGTAGGGTTTAGGGTTTAAGTTTAGGGTGGGGACCCCTTTCTAGAAACCCAAAAAGAACTAGTAGAAAAGCACTCTTACAGAACCCATGATCAAGCCCACAAGGATTTCATCCCATCCGTCCTGCTCGGACACCTCCCACATGAAACAGTAGATGACCGTGGGAATCACGATCACCAAGTAGACGATGTCCGCCTCATGTACATAGGAGTTTCGGGGTATTTAGGATTTAGGGGCTCCTTGGGCGTGACAGGTAGCGCCGAATCCAGGGCATGCAGCATTCTTTTGCTGCTGCATGTGACCTGACACCAGCATCCTGAAGATGGAATCTGCCAGGACAGCCTACAGGTACAGCACAGGAAGCCTCTGGCTCGACAGAGATACGTTTTAAACCAATACATAGCTGCAACGATGTGCGGTGAACTGGAACAGGCACTCCTCGTTTTTCTAGCCTGAATACCTACCATCAAGAACCACAAGGCCTTAGTTGATGGTCGCCCTCCAGAGCTGACCGCTCAAACCAAGCCTGGATCCTTAAGCTGCTCCAGACTACAAGCCATGATCAACAACTTATGAAATACCTCACAGGACTCTGATCGAAACCTACTAGAAGTAGTAGTACTAGTAGTAGTAGTAGTAGTAGTAGTAGTAGTAGTAGGGTGTCCCCCCCCGGTGCGACGCCCAGACCTCTTATTTTTTGGCTTTTTTGTGGTCGGAAATGCTGGTATTTACAGCACTTTT